ATTTTAACAATAGGCCTAGATAAAACTGTCGGGTATTACAGGCACTTAGCATTCTTAGAGGATGACGATCGAAGTCTCGTATATGAAAACGGAACACATAAACAAATGAAAATATTTGAGAAACGTTTCCAAATATTAAAAATCAGGCTCTATTAGCCTGAAGTCACGTGTGTCAGCTTCAATTTAAGACCTTGCCGAGCTCTCTGTGATGTTTTGTTATGGAGAAATCTGGCAGCTATGAAATGGTGTTAGGTGAGAGTCGCCTTCGAGATATGGTGGCGCCAGTATCTGATACATGTTTTTGGGATTCGAGCAACTCTCACAACTGTGGATTAGAACATCATTCAGAGCTGAGAAGTATCTCATTTTGATCAGAAATATTCGCTCTATTTTGTGGTGTTATTGAAAGTATTTACTGGATTTTGTTTCTTATCGGAAAGTAAATCTTTTCGAAAAGTCAACTTTTCAAAGTTTTCAGAAAACGTTTCTAAAAAGCGGGAGGCGATGGGAGGTTTTAAGCACACTGCAACAAAATGCATCAGATAACCATATTTCTATTAGTAAAATTCATAACGGAATTTCGTAAGCTAGATCATGGTCTTAGAAATTGTAAAAGTGCAGTTGTTGAACTGAAAAGAATTATGCTGGTAATATGAAAAATCTTATGTCATGTTATAAAAAAATTGTCGATACATTTTATGAAAAGAACTCAGATAAATGTGTTTCAGTCAAAATTATAAAAAAGCACCAAAATTATGTACTCACGGATACACCGACATTTCGGTGAACCAACATTACTGCGACGACAGATCCGCTAGCATCCTGCCAGAAACTTTTGAAAATACGTAGGTGAAGTTAGCACCAGATTTGAATATTTTCACCTAAGATTCGCTGCGAAGCTCGGTCCAGATCGGAGATTAGCTAGTGCAAATAGAGCTCACTGAGCTTTACAAAACGGTGTATTTGGTTTTTATTAACAAAGAATATGAGAATAAGCTGCGTCAAGTCGCAGTCATAACTTACCAGTCATGACAATGTTTTTTCTTGGCTGATCACGCGTAACATTTTTCATTTCTTTCTGTTCTTATGTGCTCGCAGCACGGAGAAAGAGAGAAGAATAAGAAAACAACTGAGAGTGACTAGTTCAACTTCTTTTCGAATCGTTGTACATATTTTTCTTAATATCCTTTTGAGTTGACAAGAAAAGTCAGTCACATTTTTTATAAGCCAGTCTCGCTGCATAAGAATAGTCAGTCCCAGTCCAGTCTCAGCAACTTGTTACCAGTCTCAAATCAGTCTCACTCACGGAAGAAAGCTCATTGCTCATGACTGCGACTTGCCCAGCTCTGTCCAAGATTACAGTGTAGTAGTGATGATCCATACATTTTTGGCTTGACTTTGGCGTCCGTAAAAACCTGAGAAAGGCTAACACACTGAATTTGAAAAATACTCTCAGATCTTTTACGAATGTCTATTGCAAAAAACTGAAGCTTTTATGCAAATTTCTTCTACAAGAAATCTTTATTCAAGGCTGAAAACTTTACATAGCTTAAAGAGAAAAAGATGATAAACGCTGACTAGACTAGAAAGTTTCAGAAAAAGGTTTAACTTGGTAGAACCTTCGTTGATTTGATTTTTGAATGAGTGTAAAAAAGCTACCTGGCAATCATACTACGTGAGGCTTCCGAATGAGCTACGAATCAACTAGTTCTGGAAAAAATCAGCTGTTTTGCTGGAAAAAACCTAATTCCCAAATTTTGGATAGAACCACTTTCTGGTCCTGCAGTTCTGCAACTTGGTGTCGCACAAACCCTAAATGCGGATATTCTCACATTCAGTGTCTATCCTCCTCAGTCACTTTTCAAGATTCTTTCCGGCACTTCTGATTTCTGGAAAAACCGAGCTGGAAAATCACAGAAAGTCGCAGAGAAGAAAAGGAAGAAATTGAATTCTGTAATGCAAACTAGCTTCACACCGTATTAAAAACCTTTCACTTCTGCTATATAGTCTGGGAAAAACCTTTTCGATTTCTATAAAGTCTCTTATAGCTTTTTAAAGAATGAATTATTTGCGTTAGCTTATTTCTTTCTAATTAACAGGCTTAAACAAAGAAGGAATTCGGCGCTGCCTTCGAATATCTAGTCGGAAATCGACCGCGAGACTTTGAACAATTCGACGATGAAGAAACATTTAATTTGGTTCAAAATCAAGTTGATAAGATGAGAAAACAAGATGTGAGACAGGTTGAAAACGATGAAAACTTTGCCAAGAATCTGCCAAAATTCGCCAAATATTTCCGAAAATTCGTCAAATTCGGCAATTTTTTGGTATATTTGCTAGATGCCAAAATATGACAAATTCTGCCAAGTTATTTTGCAAATTTTTGCTGTCAATTTGCCAGATGCCAGATCTTGCCAAATATTTGAAAGGTGCATATTTTATAGTCCTTTCGAGATAGTGAGCCATTTCTTATTCCACTTTCTTCCTTTTCACTCGTTCTTAGTACGTGACTGTACAGTCAGTCACACAGTTTCACAATGATGTTGTATGATATATATATTCACAGTTATTCGAAACTTCCGGCTCGTAGCTGTGTCAATGTTTTCCATTACCGTTAAATGAAATAAAATTCTGCTATAGAAGTCGACTTGCGGAAACAGAAGCTTCGGTCCAACTACACCAGTGTTTACCCTATGGTTTTTCATATTTTAAAAGTTTTAAAAGATTGAGTTTTTGGAGAAATTTGGCAATTCTGGCACATATTTAGTAAATTTGGGAAGTTTTTGGCAAATTTGACAAAAATCCTTTAGAAATTAGAAACTAGAATAACCATGTACATAATCCTTGATGATCAGATTAATTAAAAGATATTAAAAATTTATATCTGTTGTTTCTTATGTCTTTTCGAGAAACTATCTTTTGTTTGTCTTCATATTTTGTAAAGAAAAGAGATTAAGTGATTTTTTTATATTCTAACAATAATGTTAAGATTGCAATTTATTTTTTGTAGAGACACACAAGAGTCTGTGTTTACTATAGAATAAAGTTTTTATCATTGTTCTTTTTTGTTAAATATTATATGTTTAAAGACTTCATGTAAAGGTTGACTATGTGATAAACCCCTTAGTGATCGTTAAGAAAGATTTTTGAAAATGTGAGTTTGGAGCATACTTTGGCCAGAAATTTATCCTGCAGTATGTGACTAAGCGAGAAGTGATCGAAAAGAGCGAAATTCGATTTCATTGTTGTCAAAATGCGATAGGCGATCGAATTGATGGCGAAAGAATTTTTATTCTACGACGTTTGCTTTCCGAAAATGATGATGAGTCGATAGACTCGAAAGCTCAACATGTTAATTCCGTCAATTTTTAAAAAACACATCCTTAAATAAGAAAAAAGTCCATGAACAGTTAAGTAGTTTTCAGGTTTATATTTATACATTTACCAATACGTCTATTCCACACTTCGGCTGAATTATTAGTTCTCATCTGTGAATTTTTCGTTCGTTCATGAGCATTCCAATATTCAATACCAAATAGCGGACATGCACGCGACCCATTTGCCCATTTGCACGAAATCGGCCAATGTAATTGTCTTCGAAATAATCTAACATAGTTTGAAACTGATCGCCACGATGAATACTGAGTTCGACGAATGCGTTACCAACATCTTTAAAATATTTCTGGAACAATCTGAAGTAATAGAAAAATTCGGGTTGGTATACTGTGGCTCATTTTAGAAGTTTGCTTAGCTTACATCAAAAGTTCCATCAACCAAGAACTCAGCTGATGATTATAACAGTGATATTTGCTCAGGACTGCTGAAGATAAGTATTCGATCCGGATCTAAATAAAAATATCGAAAGTAAATCACCGATCAAAAGCTCTACTAAATATTCTTCATTTATTTGTTAAGGTGTATGTTACCTACCTGGGCCGGTATCAATTCGTAAGAAGTTTTTATTTCATTTTGTGGACCGGAATTGCCGGAACAGAAAAAAAATCGATATCATTGGGTATATGTGGTAAATCATTTCGTTTTCGATGATGTTGGATTGTGCGTTTCACATGATCTAATGGTGATAAACGTAGACGTGCTGGATCAGATAGTTGTGTTAAACATTGTGATAATACAGTATCGGTTGACTCTTGTGTACTATTTGCACGATCAACGAGATTCTCATAGAATTTTGGTAGTGATACTTTAATTGGATTACGATTACACCTTGTTGTGTGAATACCATTGCGTTTTACAATGTGCGCATGTGTTGTATTAGTCGTAGAATTACATGTATGTATACGGTAATAACAATTAAATGTTTTGTGATTTTCTTAACGTCAGTAAGACTTTTCGTCAGTTTGACGATCTCGAATGTACGAATAATCATCTAATACCATTAAAGGCCGACCTTTTGCGGTAGTAGTGAATTGGACAGGAGTACACATGTGTAACATAGAGAATAAGTTGTTCTGATCTCCAATGCTTGCGCGTGTTCTTTTATTTGGAACATTTTTGTTCTTAAAACGAGCTCAGTTCAATGAGATTAAACATTAAAAGGATTGGATGTCTACTAATTACAGTTTATAATTTAGCGGATAAGATAATCACTCGTCTGCTTATAACTTATCCTAACAGTCTTTTCATTAAGCTTACTTTGAACTATCCTTGATTGTATTTTTTCTGCCCCTTTGTTTTTTAATTAGCTTTCGAAGGATAAATAAGAATTTGTTATTTCTTGCGCAAAGTATCCGTGCGCATCTTTCGGGATCCTGCTGACGAATCCGATATCACCTTCATTCATTAACTATCATTCATCCTCGTCTGTTTTAACAATGTACATTATCTGTTCCAAATGTTACACATCTGTTTTTCTTTTTCATGAGCGAATACAAATTCGGAGACGCGGTTGTCCACATCGCACTCGAGAGTCTGATTAGCGAGAGAAGAACAACAACATGAATTAAAATTATGTGAAGCTGAATTGATGCAGATGGAAGAGAAAAACAATCTCTCTTTCCCTCTCTCTTGCTAGATAAGTGAATTGCTGCTATATGAAGAGTACAGTTGCATTCATTATCTCTCTTTGGGGTTTGAATGCGACATGCTCGCTCTCACCATTCAGGTCCAACGCCGATCTAAAAGATAATTTGATTCGGACTCATCTTCAACAGTCGCGTGATGTTGGCGAATATGTTGGTTTTCGTGGAATCTGTTATTAGTCTCGATTTGTGTTTGTTAGCCATGTACAGTTCCAGTAGAAAATCGATTGATGCAGTAGGTGGAGCCGTGATTCCAACCGTTTTCAATGCATCACAAATCAGTTCGAAGTTTTCGTTTTGTACCAGTGTATCGCCGATCGTAATAGTCGATATCTACTCCACCACCAGTCCATTTGGTAGTTGATGAGGGTCCACTCCATCACCCTCATGAACCAACCATGATTTCGTCCGTTTCGCATTCTTCAAAAGGACGCTTCTTTGGGCGGACAGGAGTACTTCTCGAAGGGTTTACGCGGTTTTGGCTTTTCAATTTCATGTGTCGACGTTGGAATGAGCAACTGCATGAGAGAAAATAACATGAGAGACGATGCTGATATTCAGCGAGCATGTCATACTAGAACGCGCAGAGAGATAATGAATGCAACTGTGCTATTCATCTGCCAACGTCTCACACGTCTAGCAAAACACAGAGACAGAGAGATAACTATCGTTCATCGCTTCTATGAACCTGATTTCAGCTTCGCCCGATCCTTAAAAATAAAAAAAACGTTTAGTCTACACAGAAGAAATTGCAAGCATCAAACAAATCATTAAAAAAAATTTAATTTTCATTATTTATTTCGACTGTTGCTGATATTCGAAAAACTGGCGCACTCTGCATCTCGCTCGAGCATGCTCATTCTACCTGAGAGCACTCGCGAACGCTACATCTCGCTCAGAGCATCATTTTGCTTGAGAACACTCGCGAAATCTATGAGTTTTCATTATTCAGCATTCGATGATTTTACCTATAATTCTGCTACTTATTTTTAATCTAAAAAATCGGTTGTTTTCATTTGTGACTACAAAAAGTTAAAGTGTTGAACTTTGAATCAAACTGATTTTAGTTGCAACCAAGTTTGTCTGAATATCAAGTCTGCCCGACACAACTACATAGGTTTGGGAGAACAAGGGGTTACTATGTCGTCTGATTGACCTAGTCGATCTTGCTGAGAAAGGCCTAAAGAGATATTGGAAAGAATTGCTCAAAAGATCCGATCATACCATCGGATGCAACTCACGAAACTGCATCTTTTGATATATAAATTAAAATTTTAAAACACTAGCATGACCGAAAAAAGAACAAAAAAAACGACAGTGCTTGTCACAGATATGTACTTGGACACATTGTCGCGCCTTTTTCGACGTGACGCCAGTAGTTAAAAATTTCTGTTTACATATCAAAAGATGCAGTTTTGAAAGCTGCATCCGATGGTGTGCTCGGAGTTTTGTGGCGATTTTTCTAAAGGCCTATTTAGCCCTAAATACTGGTTTTTCAAAAAACCGGTTATTTGACTCAGAACTCCATGAAAGCTTCATAGAACCATATACGATTTTATATCGTTAGATAGAGAAATACAAACAATAGATAGAGATTTCCAGTATTTTGGTCCTGGCCGTCGTAGTCAAGTGTATAATATGAAAACAAGTAGTAGAGATTGTAGAGCAAACATTTCTCTATCTAACGATATAAAATCGTATAAGGTTCTATGAAGCTTTCATGAAGTTCTGAGTCAAATACAAAAAAGCCGGTTTTTTACCGGTTTTAGCAGGGGCTTGAAAGTCGGTCCCGGCTAACTCCTTAGGACAGCGTTTTAAAATTCTAATATTGTGTACTTGTGAGTAACTTTTCATGGAGATTTTTTCTAGATATAAATGAATTTTTTTCTGAATTTTGACCCGCCGCTTCGATATGTGCGTTTTGGGTGGTTTTTACATGGACCCTGTCTTAAACGCAAAAAAGGTTGGCGTTTAGGCGTTTTCGGAAGTTTCTGACTGTATGGGTATTATTTCGCACCTTTCTGTAATCTGACATTCAGTTTCATAAGTCGTTTTTCGCTCGAAACGATTATCTTTTTTTCCCTAGCAAATAGATCAAGATTATATTTAAATATCATAATTGATTTATAGAATGCAACAATTTTTTTGTGTAAAATATCATAACATTGTTATATAGCGGAGATTCTTACTCCAAGTGTTTTATTTATCTTTCAAAGGCGTCTTTTAAGAAAAAAATCAATAATACTTGTTTTCTAATATTAATACATTCATGTAAATTAGTATCTTTTCCATAGCACTGAAAGTTTATTAGCCGTTATAATGATCTCAAAAATAGTAAATCGGAAAATATTTATTCGAGCCCTCGAATAGAAACTGAAAACAAAATGGAGAACGTCTGTCTTCCGATCCTTCAAACAATTTTTTCCTTTGGCTATTAATGGCTCCTATAAAACAAAATGTTGTACTAAGATCGAAGATATTCAAAGCTAAGAACAAAACGTTAGCTGTCACTTTTTGCGAACATTTGATGTCGTACATTACAGCTTGAAACATAGTTGGTGATAGGTGATAAATCACAAAGATAATTTAACGATTAATTGATAATGCACTTTAATAGCATGTCGATATTCATCGGCAGAGTTTTTATAGGAATGAATCTTTTGCTACATCATGCTTTTCAATTTCTATTTGACTTCGATCAGTTTTTCCAAATGCGCGGTTTCTCACTGTGCCGATTAGGAAAGAATATTGAACATATCAGTCTAAAAACACTTTTTCAAAAACTGTTTTACATACTTTATCATTGAAAAGCGTATTGGTCGTTTACAACCTATCGCTTTCTCGATACTAGATGTTCGACCTGTTTTTGCATCGCCTTTCACACACGAATACGATTCGTATGCTATCCGATTTTTTAAAAAGAAATTCCCACATCAATCACGCCCAGCCGTAAACGACCGTGCACGATTACTTACGACGAAAAACGACAGCCGTTAACGGTAACCGTTTATAGCAGTCCTGTACAATGTTTTACGGTATATTACGACTACTGTAAACGATGACTGTAAAAACTCGTCGTTTACGACTACCGTGACAACACGGTGGCTGTAACGACGCCCAGACCATGTCGTAATGTACCACAAACGCCACCCGTAAACGGGATGATGTCCGTTCATCGTTGTTTGCGGTAGATCTTCGTAAACGGTCGCTAACGTTGACGATCGGTCAGTGCATCCTTTCCATTTAGCAATCGAAAGGGAAGGGAGAGTTGACTCAAAACTTAGTGCATATGTTTTCTCTAATAATTAGTTATATTAAATTTTGTTTTCACTATACGGAATATGTGAGTATCGCATTTTGGCCTCAGCAAAGCTGTGCTGAGAAGCTTTTTTATGTACACTTCCACAAAGACTAAAAATAATTTTCTCCCCTTTCTACTACAAAACAAAAGTACTTGTGCCATATAACTCACATACTAACACATGTAACTCCATCAGAATCAAATCCATAAGATACATATCATCACATAAGGAATGCGCAAAAACCCAGATACACTAAACAACAGTAGATAAAAAAAACCTATTAATCCTAACAAACACGTAGATAAAACTGACACAAAAATTCGAATAATCGATTCAAAAAATATTACAAAATGCAAGATACTATGAGTCATTCAATAAATTGACGCCGAATCATACCGATATTTGGGTTTACTTGAAAATGACTGTTTAAAATTCAGTCGAAATGTCGTAAAATGTTTATTGTTATCTAATAAAAAATTGTTTCATTCATTATTTCACTACCATTTATACCGATTATGATACATTTTGCCTCAATCTTCTGTTAATGAAATAAAAGATACATAATTAATTTTGATGACTCTATTCTCCGCATTTCTAAAAGCTTCACTCATATCATTTGGTTGTGCAAGACTCAAATACAATATTACTTGGATACAACCGTCCCATAACTTTACTGCGTTTATGGTGAATTCATTATTAACTTATAATTAGTGATTTAGTTGTAGTAATAATGATTACTTAATAACAGATACATACGACTTATACAATCTTTAGATCTGCTTTTTCTCGTAGACTGGAATCAGCTGCAATAAGTAGAGCCAACTGAAGTCAATAGAATCAGTGGAATCACGAAGTTAGCTGTTTCTTCCTTTAGTTCTTCATAAAAATAGCCAGCATTCTTCTGCATACACGAGTACGGGTCTATTCTAGTTCAGACTATAGTGGAAAATTTCAAGCTCATTTACGACAATCGATAACGTTGCTTGAATGTCTTCGAAAGATGTTGGATGGTAAGGGAAAGAAGAAAATACATTCATTTTATTCTTGTTTGATGAAGAAAAAAAAAATTATTTCAGCAGAAATGACATAAAAAAACAATATTAGCGATAAAAAATAGTATGAATAACTTAGTATCTACGTAGTCGATGATGAATTACCGCCATGAACATGGCTTTTAATTGACTTTTATTAAATCACAAAGGGCTTTTCTTGTGACCGGTCTTCGCATTGCAGCCATGACGCCCATAGCTGTTTGATAGGAATTAGGAAACGGCCTATCATCACGTAACCGATGAAAGTGCCATTGATCACCTTTGTACGAACATGAAATAATTTTGTTGTCATACGCCTCCAAAAAAGGCACGTAGGGCATCCTCGCAAACGGAGTATCCCGGCGATTGACAAAGAGATGAGCATTCTTCTCGGGAAGTGCACCTCTTTTTGAGAAAGTGGCAGATATTTTCAAACGAAACTCAACTGTCTCGCTTTCCTTCCATTTTAGTACGTGTTGACATTCGCCGGGTGTGTAGGGCTCGTTTTCTGGTAAAAAAATGAATCCTTCAACTTCGTGAGGTACAGTTTTAAGAAATTTCGAGCTAATAAGTTTGTTTACTTCTGACAAACCAAAAAAGTCTTGGTTCCGTATTGAAAACGGCTGCGTTGTCTTTTTAATGTGACCTTTTGTAATGGCTTTGTTGCGTACATTGACGATCCATTCAGAAATGAGCCTCAAACGGAACCGAAACGGTTTCGTGCTCACATTTCGGCCGTTATAAGTGATTATGTCGTTGATCAAATACCTAAGCTTGTCCGAACCATCGACATTATCAATTACAAGTTCGCCATCGACTAATGTGTCCTTGAGATGACTTGTGTATTCCGCATTGCATGGAAATTGAATATGATCAATGGCGAATACATTATCACCCTGATCGAGCATGTACACTTTATCTTTTTCTTCTATTAACATCATGTATCGTTTACCGACCGATTTCCAAGTGACCATATAGGATGACTGCAAAATCATCTCATAATTTTCACGATGCATGCATACAGGATGAGATCCCGGAAATCCTCGACGATGCCATCCACATAATCGTCGGTATTTCTGTTGGATAGCGAGCAACGGCGGTTCATAGACGGTTCTCACCTCGCGCAAGCGAACGAAAAATTGTGGAGCAGATGCCGACTGTAATGCTTCACAAAATCGTTTTGCTGATTGGTCAGAAGCATCATTTGAGTAGGAACGTTTGTTATATCCACGCGTGGTGCATTGATCATTTGATTCAACTTTATAGCCACTACTTGTGAGACATGATTCGGGAAGTGCTGGCTACAAAATAGGTGTGATATAATCATCTCCCAACTTTTTTATCAATGCGCTAAAGTAATTTTCAAAGGGAGAAAAGCCTACTTCTGTACTTCAGAAATTCGAAGAAGTACAGACGTACGAATGCATGCGCTTCTCCCCTTGCGTCTTAAACGAGTAAGTTTCTCTATTCCCTGTTCAGCCTCTGCAAAATCCGTCGATCTGCTACATTCTTCGATAGATTTAAGTCCTGTCCAAATAACGTCGAACCATTTCTCAATTTGAATTTTCTTTGATGATGGTTCACTGTTCTCTGTTGTCTTCTCTTTCAAATATTCCAAAAAGCCAGTTTGCAATGCTCATAGTTTCTGACATTAGTTTCTTTAAGGAGTTCTGCAAATCATACTTCATCTAATCTGAATCTCTCTTATGCAAAGGCTTGTCAACAATGTCAGCTAATGCCATATGCGGACGAACATAGTCTCCCTTAGATATGTGCTTTAATACTATTCTGTAAGCGTCCCTACACTCTCTGTTTATTTCCACTTGATAGCGGTTGTGCAAAGTTCAAAAACCATTACCTGTAAAAACACCTGCGTAGAAACGATCTGAGTAACTGAACACTTTCGCTAGATGAAGAGAAGAACATGCTGATATGTCTTCAGGGAAAAAAGTTGTTGTAACCGTATTTCTAAATCTTCATATACGATGTCTATGCTTGTATATCCCTCTCGTCCTAAATAACCACTATGTTCGATGTTTGTTTTCTCAAATGATGCCGGTTGTGTACTCAATGCTAGTTGAATCGAATGATTTTGAATCACTAAATCTAATATCTTTAACTTAGATTCTAAGCCACTTTTTTCTGTCTCTGTGTTCTCGACTTCTCTCCGTTGTTTATTTTAGAGATTTTCAATCTCAAGAGCCAATACACTTGCATCTGCATATTCTTTATTTCGCAAATATAGGCGAGCCAGACATAATTTCTCGTATGCTCGTGAGCAGGATCCAATCTGAAACTTGAATTCAATTATTGAAATCACTTCAAATATTCAGATATTATATCATTTCTGTTCAGTGGCATCCTCAATGCGCGGAATGCCTTCTTTCTATATTGAGTAAATGTCCGGTAAATTAGTTGTAAATTTGATATAAATTCCTCAAACTATTTTCAAACATCAAATTTCCCATGCACTCGTTTGAAATATCAGTTTCTGTTCTTGAAGATTTTACGTATGTGACAATACAGCCTTGAAGCGTCGATGTCAAAAAAAATCACCTAAGTACTTCAAACGCAATATTTTTGCCTCTCTGTATTTTTCTTCGACTCTCAAATCTAAATGTTCTTTTAACAGATGTGGCGATTTTGATCTTGTGAGAATGATCTCAGCAACCTGTTTGAATTCATTCTTAGACAAATACTCATCCACAGATTCAATGATTATCTAAATATATCTGTACCAAGTGACTACATAGATCATCATCGATCACAGCAGAAATTCTTCTCCTGAGTTCAGAATTCCTATTTTCCATGAGAGCTTTAGATGACTCTAAGTTTGACCCTAAATGTTCTTTTAATTTCTGAGTCTTTTGAAGATATTTAACAGCACTTTCATAGTCACAAATATCTTATTTCCCCAATCCATCTTTACTAGTAAAAGCTCGATTAAGTTTTGCTTTCAATGCTTCGATGACTCCTACGTCATTCGCAATATCTACTTCTGGACTCGCTGTCTCCTCAATACCAGATGCGTCACATACACTAATGTCTTCAGTCTTATGTGGACCGAATATATCCTTTAATTTCACGGTAACAAATGTAATATGCCGAGCCTCGGATTTACAAAAAGGGCTGCAAGTCACGTCAGGTAGGGCAGGGCTCTTCAGATAACCGTATGCATTTTGTCGGAGCTACTTCTACACTAGTTTCCTGCATCTTTGAACTTGCAAGAAACTGAATTGTAGTACATTTTCCACGTCCAGTTTCGTCTAACAGTAGAATGGTATCCTTCTTACGCATTAAGTTAGTCGCAGTTTGTACTTTTGTAACGAGTCGCTTCACCTCTCAGATATTTAAAGAACTTGATTTCTTTAAAAGCTCTTTCAAGATGTCAGCTGTGGACAAAAAATCGTCGCTTTGTACACTTCGTTCGAGATTTTGAAGAAAACCGGTAATTTCTTCAGAAAAGAACTCTTGTCTTTTAACCTGCTGCTGTAGTTGAATCAACCATAAAGCTACGCAGTCAGAAGATTGAATAGCTGTGTGATCTCCAAGTAATCTCTCTTCAAACTTCAGAAATAGATTCAAAATGAATTTTTCTGCACACAAGGGAGGAGCGGCTGAATCTTCACGAAATGCCGGAAGGTACTAAGTTTCCTTCTCATTCGACAATATTGGTGGTGGAAGGGATCCGAGGGGGGACATATTTTCTGCGTTTCAGTATTACCTGCGACTGATCGAATAGATTTCAATTTCGTAATTTCTTCGTCTAAGAGCGTCAAAATCGGCATTTCCTTCTCAGCCATCTTCTCGATAGTCTCTGATACGTTCTTCGATCCGTTGGGATTTTTCTGCTGACTTATTCGCGTCGTGAACCTTGAATTTTGTCAACCCACTTACCAAGTCTTGTTCGAGCCGACGAGGTTTTATCACATTATTTCTGTCTTCAACCAATTGAGTAGATTTCAATTTCGTAATTTCTTCATCTAACAGCGTCAATTGTTCCAGCTGCGCCAAAATCTGGGTTTCCTTCTCAGTCTCTTCTTTTCTGTCATTTTCTTGATAGTCTTTGATACGTTCTTTGGTCTGTTGAATTTTTTCTGATAACACATTCTCGTCCAGAATCTTTAACAACTCCAGTCCATTGACTAGCTCATGTTCGAGCCGAGAAAGTTCCATCACATTACTGCTACCTTCAACCAATTGAGTAGATTTCAATTTGGTAATTTCTTCATCTAAGAGCGTCATATGTTTCAGCTGTGACAAAATCTGCGTTTCCTTCTCAGTCTCTTCTTTTCTGTCATTTTCTCGACAGTCTTCGATACGTTCTTCAGTCCGTTGAATTTTTTCTGATAACACATTCACGTCCAGAATCTTTAACTTGTTCAGTCCATTGACCAAGTCTTGTTCTAGTTCAGAAATATTAGATTTGTCTTGAATTTGAGAATAGGAAGCGGCAGATTCCAGTGTTAAATCATCGTGACTGTGGATATCTTGAAATTCAGACTGTTGAAAATGTTTATCTTCGTCATCTGTCCTAGTAGGTGATTGATCAGATGTTTCCTTTTCTCGGTACCATATGCAATTTCTTTCTGCAATGATCTTTGAACCGTGTTGAAGCAGCAAAGGTTGAGTATTATCTGTTTCACGGAGGTCTGAATTATCCACGTTTCAGGATTGAGTGTTGTGATACTAAATGTATGGTGCAAAAGTTACTAACACGCTTTCAATTAAAGTGTATAATGAGGAGAATATTGGGAAAATAACTGTTGGGGTAGTGTATGATGAAATCAGAGTATTTGTGTCTGAATCAGCGTATTCATCCTTCAGGAGTTTGCTGTTTATCTTGAATTAATTCTTAGTTGTGTGTTAAATAAACCCTATATCTTCAGTGTCAACATTCTGAGATAAAATATTTGACTCTGTGTCTTATCTCTCTCTCTCTGTAAGAGTCACTCACTGCACGAGAGATACGAGCGATCTATGGCACGGCTGCGCAATCATAGTTGCAGATTCCTTCTAAACCTAGCGCATCTTGTGGCCCATCTTGTTCTACCTAGGTAGCTATACTTTTGGACGTCTAGGTGCTTGCTTCACAGCACCCTGAGAATCCTCCCGAGAGCCCTGTTCACCGATAGTTAACGGTACTTTTTGAGTAAAACTTTGATTTCTCCGAATCCCTTTGTCCTAAACGGCTAAAAATCTCCACGTATATGTAACTTGCCTTCGTTTCTACACAGCACTTGACCTAATCTATGTAGTAATACAAGAAAAAGTTTGGAGCTTCCCTAAAAACGCCAGAAAATTGTCTCGAAATTTTTCGGAGATTTTTGCTCAATTTTCTGCATTTTCGTCCTGCGAAGAGGCACTGTTTGCTCACAATTCCACCTTGTTTGTGTTGTAGCATAAGACCCTGCGATTGCAACGCTGACTCCAGCACCTATTCATGTTACTGAGGGCAGCGATTCGCTTTCAATCTGGACGAATTCATCTGTCATGAGACATTGAAATTAGTTTCATTATCGCCGTTGATTTCGATCACTTATCTTGACTCTTGTATTACATGTTATAGGAAAACACATAACATCCGGAAATCGCCGTCGCCGCGGATTCAGTGTTAAAGTGTTAACACTTTAGCACTTCCACTTTAACATATACGAACTCGCGGCGAGTGAGGGTGAGGGTGGAGAAGTGAGGATGAAGTGGGTAAAGAAGTTCTTCCTCCTCCTCGCTTCTTCATCCTCAGTCCTGCACATTTCCACTTTAACATATACAAATCCGCGGCGACGGCGATTTCCGGATGATGCAGAAAAATATGAGTCAAATGTCAAGGAGCTAACAACAGAACCTATGGAGATGAAGCACTCCGATTTCGTTCGTTCTTGCGTGGATCGATAGGGCATGTGGAGTGGGTAAAAGGCCTAAGAGGGTTCGGGCGGAGACTTTTCCCTTGGGGAGTTACGGGCATTTTACGCATTTTCTCACGTCAGCGGAGAACAGGCAAAATTAAAAAAATCATAACTCTGTCCAGGAAAGTCGTAGAGGGCTGAAAGTTTTTTTGGTGGTGAGGATAAAGGTTGTCTTCATATTCTGCAAGTTTCAGGGTTCTATCACTTTCTCTCCCTCAGAGGCAGAACTTTTCAGAAAGGCAAGGAAACGCAGTACGAAAGAGTACGTGGTGCTATCTTTTTCTTAATGTCACGATGACATGTTTGAATTACTTTATTCTCTTCGGTAGTGGTGTGCTTAGTGTGCAGGGAGAGAGCTTTGTTTACGTTCCTTATTGGCTCTCTCTGACGACACAAAGAGAGAGAAAAAGGTAGGGGTCCGTTATGACCTTTAAGGTCATAAAGGTCATAGGTTATCCCTCCTCCCACCTTATACATATCTTTTCTCCCTTTCTTCCTTCACTGTACATGACGTCATGATCTCTCTCTTCTCTTCCTATTACTGAACATGACGTCATGATGATATCTCTCTTGATGATCTGGAACCTTCGAGTAGGTTCTCACTCTCCCTCTGACTCATATATATATATATATACCTGCTCCGTTCTCGTTACATTCATTCATTCATTCATTCATTCAGTTCAGTTGGAGTTCAGTTGTTCCAGTTATTGTTATTGTTTCTCTTTCTCCACCAAGTGGTGGTGCGCTACGTTTGGAAATAAAGGACGTGAGAATAGACCTCACAGGATTTCCTTCAAAGTTTTCCTCCGGTCATTTACTACCATCTACAATCAAAGTCACATCATTATGATCAACCCACACAACGTAGGACGACTGCTCTCGAGCTACATCAGTAAACTCCCACCTGTCAGTCAATACAAGTTAGGCTTTGGTGCTCGTGATGAGGACGTCGCAAAAAATCTCTTCGAAAACATTGAAACGATCCTCGCTTGCACGGAATATTCCTTCGAGAACGAAGAATCTCTCGACTTTCACGAGGAGACAGTTCACCAGAGTCCAGAAG